GAGAGAACTCTTCCCTGGTCTCTGTGAAGCATGTGGCAAGACTTCCAGCACATACAGCACAATAGCAGCTGTTCCTACTATTAATCCAACAAAGATTAGAAGATTTGCTCCTAACAAAGCCTAGGGAACAGGTACCAGCTGGGAGTCAGGGGAGGGGCAAGCCTGGGTCCTCTGGATACAAGGGTCTTCTCCCTCCACTCATGACAGGGTCCGGGTATCACACGTTCGTGAGCTAAGCATGGGTTCCCACCGCCTGGGCATTGAACTGATTCACAGCCTGAGTAGAATGTGACTCTGTGTCTCAGAGGCCTGTCCCATGCTCAGATAGCAGAGCTTCCCCTGAAGGGTTGTAGTGCGGGATGGGCACTAGGTTAAGTGACACAATTGTCTCTACTTCTCAGAGTGTAGGTCCGACTTTGTAGGTTGGACCTAGGCTGTGGCCAGAAGCTAAAAGTAACCACATTCTGGCAGTAAGAAATGCAGGCAAGGGAAGCCCTACACAGGTCTTGCTCGTGCTGTCAAGACTACTAAGGCAAACTCTATGAGACCCAATGCTGGGCCACCCCAAATCTACCCACAGAGGTACCACTGTCTTGTCAAACCTTATTAACCTCAGACGTCTCTACATTGCCTCTCTCAGCATTACCCCACACCCCATCTCAGCCTCAAGAATGTGTCCTGAGTATCCCTGGGTCAGGGAGGGCCTGTTGGACCTGCAATCTTGGCCTTTGTAACTCTGCATCAGACTTATCGACTGAGGGTAGGTTCTGTGCCCAAGAATGTCACACCAGAAACGACAACATCACAGAAGAAGTAGGTGAAATTGGTGAATGAGAAGCCTGGGACAGACCAGAAAGACAGCATGAGAGAAAATCAACATATTATAGGACCTCAAGGGACATCTAGTATGGCTTCCTGGTAAGGTAAGGAGGCAGAAATGACTTACCCAAAGTCACAGTGGTGGAAATGTGGTAGAAGACCCCAGAGCTCTGCCTCCCAGAAGAGAGCTCTTAGAGCCTGTCTGTTGCTGCCTTATGAGTGAAACATCACACATAACCCATATACACAAACCTATTGCCAGCTCATGTTCAAATAAGACCTTAGGAATCAGTTGAGGTGGGAGATGGTGGGGAGTGGGCGGGAAGACACCCTAGTGTTACTCTTGGAATGGCCCAAGCTGAGAGAGAGAGAGAGAGAGAGAGATTTGAAACTTATTTGGTCCTTAGAGTCAAAGAGGCAAGCAGCCATCCCTGCAGTCTGGTGTTTCTTAGCTATTTATCCGTATCTAAACACCTGGGAGTTGCATCCCACGCTGTCAGCCCTGGAGGCTTGCTTTGGCAGCTGCTAAGGAGGATGCTGTGTCTCAGAGTGTGGGAGACTAAACTTGGCTTCAGGCCCAGGGCTTCCATAGGTGTGGAGATGGCTCCATGGCTGCTCTGCCCCTCTGATTCTAGGTTGTAAGAGGGCTGTTCCAGACAAGACACCAGAAACCTTCCAGGAAGAGAGTCAAGCATTCATGATAATGAAAGGGATGCCAAGAGGCAGATGGAAAGACAGAAAATTCACAGCGCCTCTGAAGCAGCTGAATGGCTAAGCCTGGGTTCCCAGGGATAATAAATGCAAATATGCTGGAGAGGTGGCTGCCAGACTTTCATAAGTTCCAGGAGATGCCAGGTCCCCCTGGTACCCTCTCTAAGTGGGAGACAATCATGGAGATGGCTGCCAAGTCCCTGTGCAAGCTCCACGTGTGCCTGAACTGCTTAATTGCCTGTGATGACTGCCTGGACTATATTATTGCAATGCGGGGGAAGCCAGCAAGCAAGAGGACCCACTGGTGCTGGTTCACGTACGGATGTGATAGGAGAATACAGAATGTTTCTCCAGTGACCTTGAATCCTGGGCAGGAACTGAAAACTTGGAGAGCAGCAGCTGCTGCCTTTTCTCCAGGTGAACAGAATCCTGATGCCGTTCATTGTTAAGAGCATTTAATGACCATGCAGAATGAATCAAGAGAAGTGGGCTACAAAGAGATACTGAGTAGACAAAACAATGTTGAAAAAGAAGAACAAAAGTGCAGGTGTCACACTTTCTGATTTCAAAGCTTAATATAACAGGAGTGTACTGACTGGGGAATGAGCACACTGACCAACAGGATAGAACAGAAATAAGCTTCACTTATACAGGCAGTTTTCAAGAGTGAAAGGCAACTCTGTGGATGGAAGAGTAGTATTTATAAATATTATATCTGATTAGAGGTTAATATTTACAAAAAATAAAGAACTCCTAAAACGCAACAAGAAGAAAAATCAAACCACTTTGATATCTAAAACATGAGCAAAGGATTTGAATCGAAATGAAATGTTAAAATGTAAAATGCAAACCAGAACCAGAAAGAGGTACAAATTTGGGCCTACTGGATACTATTTTCAAAACGATAAGCATTGGTCATGATGCAGGGAAATTGGGACTCTCAACACTGCAGGATGGGATGCAAAAATGTTGCAACTACCATCCAAAACGGCCTGGGGATTGCTCAGGCTTCATTATAGAATTGCAACATGATATAAGTCTAAGTCTCACTTGCCCTGGGTGTGGACCCAGCACAGCTGAGCAGTAATTTGATCCATGCTCCCAGGTTTTCAGACGCTTTATCAACAATGGCAAAAGGTGCTGACAAGCCAAATGTGAGAGCCCCTCTCTCTCACTCTCTGTCTGTCTGTCTGTCTGTCTCTGATAGATAGGTAGATGAGAGATGGTGTGCGTGCGTCTGAGCACACGCCTGCGTTGCTTTCTGTACTTTCGGAAGAGTCAGTGCTATCTCTTCAGATGGAATCTGTTCAGTGCTATCTCTTCAGATGGAATCTGTAGGGGTCTCTAAAGAGATACACGCACATTGCTGTGTACTGGTGTCAGCTGTATTTCTGGCTCTAAAGAGTGGTGTTTCTTTACCGAAGTGCTATGCCTTCGTGCTTCAGACAAGCTTACAAGGCTATTACAAAGCCAGTGAGGAAGATGGTGGCTAACGCACATGGTGGCTGAAGAAGGTGAAACCCTTAAAGATGGAATGTGAGTGAGTGAGGCTGGGGCCAGCAGGGTCTGCAACTGGCTCTCACGGGAAGTGGCAGGAACTCCGAGCTGCAGCCGTTCTTTCTTAATGTGGGAGCTTCCAGAAGCTTCTCTCCCCACAGCGCTACCCTAGACTGTCATGTGGCAGAAGCAAGACTAAGATGAGGAGCTGAAAGTAGGAAAATGCCAAGAACAGAAGAAAAAGGGAAAAGGAAAAGATGGTGTTTGATATGGATTGACCCTGACAGACTCAAGAACTCAGGTTGTGTACAGTGTGAGGAGAATCTGAAAATTTCACCCCAAGGAAAAGACAGACAAAGAGCAATGGCAGACAAGCTTCATTTACATGTATGCATGGATGTGCGTGCGCGTGCGCACACACACACAAACCACTTTACTCTCTATAAAATATCTCCTAACTTTATGTGAACCTCAAATATATAATAGAATTTAGAAAAAACTAGTAAAGTTTAAAGTGAACAGTTGCCAATAAGTGTGAAATATTGAACCATACTAGTAACCAATGAAAGAACATTGAGGAGCCCTTCTTATGATCCAACTGAAAAAAATTACACTATACTAACCAAGTGTGGGCAGGATTACATTCGTGGGGCTGTGCTCCATCTGATGTCTACTTCCTGCAGCCATTTAGAAATGCCCATCAAAAGCTCCAGCCAGACTAGTGGGCAGAGGCATTAGCTGCTAGCCCTGACAACCTGAGCTAGATTCTCAGAACCTGCATCGTGGGAGGAAAGAATGACCTTGGACAAATTGTCCTCTGAGCTCCACACTTGCATTATGGCAAATTTGCATTTGTACGTACATGCGCGCACACACACACGCACACACACACACACACACACACCAATATGAAATACATTTTAAGAGCTTTAAGCATGCACATGCTGTTTGACTTAGAAGTTCTACTTTGGAATTTATCATAGAGAAACAGCCTTGAAATCTAAACAATACACTTAGCTGTTTAGAAGAGAGAACCACCACAGATGTCCAACGATGAGGTGTTCAGTGAGTGAATGACATGCTGAAGGACAGAGGTTCTCAACCTTCCCAACGCTGCAGCCCTTTAAACAGCGTTCCATAAACTTCTTTTCATTACTACTTCATAACTGTAATTTTGCCACTGTTCTGAATCATAATATAAATATGTTTTCTGATGGTCTTTTGTGAGTCACGACCCTCAGGTGGCGAACCTCTGCTCTAGAGCATGCTTTGCCACTAGACATAAAAACGTTCAGTAATATTTAGCGGCATAGAAATAACCACGCCATAGAGAAAGGATATGCCAGCCCATTACTTCGTAGCACAGATGCTCAGAAAGGGCTGGAAATTAACGCATCTGTCGCTGGTGGGTGGTGTTCTTCCAGGTGATGTGACTAAAGTATTCTTTTTTATATTTCCATGTGTCTATTTTCTAAACTCTGTGCAATGATGAAATCTGGCTCTGTAAGAAAATAAACTCTTGATAACTTTTTTTTTTAAGATTCAATGAAGTTGCATGTTTAGCACGGTAGGGATTACAGACAGAAAGGCCTGGTACTCAAAGCTGCAGGAAAGGTGGGAAATCAGAAGTAGATGCAGAAATGGAGAGCCACAGCTGGAGACAAAGGGCATGCTTCCTTCTGCCAGGATGGGCTGAACAGAGGGCGGGTCTTGGAGACGGCACCAGCATATGCCAGAGGGCGAAACCAGTGATTTCGATGATGTTTGTTCTGCTGAGTGGCTGAGCACAGGGAAGCTGTCTCTCTTCCCTGCCCAAAGTCCCTCTCCCTTTCAACAAACACTGGCTGGCACAGATGGGATTCCGCTTGGCCCAAGTCAAGAGGAAAACATGGTGAGAGGGGAAGGTGAGCTTCCAGAGCACAGCAAAAAGCCAGGCCCAGGCAGGGAGGGATGTGGGCAGACAAGCTACTGACCTCTGGGCATGTCCATGGGGTCAAAGCTGGCCAAGAGGTCACGGCACCACTGGCGGTCACCTTCCACCTTGCTCAGCCAGTTGTTGCAGTTGAAGTAGTATCGGAGATGGGGCCTCTTCATGTCAGTCACTATCACTCGGTCCAGGTACCAGCTGGCATTCAAGCCTGTGTTGTCGTGCTCGATCCTGGGGGAGAAGCCAACACCTCCATTTCACTGGCAGAACCAAGATGTTCTCCCTTCCATATGAGGGCACCCAGTGATTCCTCCAGAGAGAGGTCCAATCCTTTGCTTGCTTTGGTTTTAGGGTTCCTCGTGTATTCATGGGGATATTTTGCAAGGTAGATATGAGTAGTAAGCCATATTGTCACCCTCTAATAGGGGAGTATTTTCTATCCTAGGAAAATCCAAGTCCCTGAAGCTCTCAGTAGGAGCATCTTGATCTTGCCTTGGTAAGTTCTATGCTGTTTCCTAACCTTGGTCTATGCCAGCACTGTACTCTGTCTGCTCTGTCCCAAGTTGTATGAATGTATCATCCCTTGAAGCCTATAGAGTCAAGGTGGGAAAGGCAGCTAATCCAGACTTTAGGAAGGGAGAGCATAAATGAATATGTAGAAAGCAGAAGCCCCCAGCCCTAGACGTGGTCCCTGGGGCAAACTGTCGCCTCCCATTCCTCTGAGTTGATGAAGTCCCTCTCTTAGTGACTCTCACCCCATGTACTGTTTTCATTCTCATCATCCAAGGATCCCCATCCAGGCCAAGAGTGTCCCATGGAAATGTCACGTGAGCCACACGTACAATTTTAGATTTTTCCAGCAGCCTTGATTTTGACGCTACAAAGAAGCTGGTCGTGTTGATTTTAATAATATAGTGTATCTCCCACATAACCACGTAAAAAAATTTAACAACAAGTGCTACATTCTTTTTCTTGTGTTAAGTCCTTTAAAATTCTGGTGTCTGTTTTATTCACACAACACGGGTGGTGCAAGCCAGATGTATTTTTAGTGCACGATAGCCACATGTCTTCTGTACTGGGGGACAGTGACACAGATACCTCTAAATCTATGTTCCAAATCTTCCTCCACTTTCTACAGCTCCCACCCCTGTCTAATTTCTTCCCCAGAACATGGCCACCAGATGCCTCATGGTACATAGGACACCTCGTTTCATCCTATCACACTTGAGGCTTTATCCCAGAAGCTCACAGTCCAGTGAAGTCCACGACATTGGGCCTGTTCTCTCCAGGGGCCCACGCCTCTATAAGGCACAGAGTCTGGCACTGAGCAAGACTTTGGTCAAAGACCATTTCCCATGTGCCAACTTCCCTTCCTCACCGCCCTGCAAGAGCCCCCTCTCTTTTTGTGTCCCCTTCCCTGCACACAGTCAGTGCCTGTGGCCCTTATGTCCTCTTACTCCTCTGGCAAAGGGACTCCAGCTCCCAAATTTCCAAGTGGAAGAAAAAAGTTAGGACTAAACTGAGGCTGCATTTGAGCCCTGTCCAGGCTCCAGTTAGAAACAACCAGATCACAAATGATCCTAAAGTGAACATATCCTGAATAGGGGTGGTTAGCAGAGACTAGGAAAGGTTAAAAGGGTGGTTGAACACTCTTCCTCTGTAGCCAGGCTGGAAGTTTCCCTTTTCATACAGTCCACAGAAACTCACCCAGCAAGAACATCAGGAAAATTCTCCACCCAGGGCTCCTGCAACACAGCCCTCGCTGAGTACTCAGTGCTTGGCAAGTGATTGCTCTATGCCCCAACTCAGTGAGTCCCAGCATTATATAGATGGGGGACATTTTTTACAGAAGAGGAAGCAGCAGAGGCATGGAAAGATAAGCTGTACAAAATCCTGCATCTGAAAACCAGCAGAGCAGACCTCAGAGTCGGACACAGAGATCTGCTCCCAGTTACCATGATTTAGTGTCTCTAAGAGCTTATACCTCAAGTGTGTGGAAAACTGTATCAAATTGTCCTAGCCCGTGCAAGCAAGTCTCTAATGGGACAGCTTAGAGCTCAGTAATTTGGGATGGGGGGAGGATTGGGGCAGCCAATGAGTATTAAATATCCAGAAAATGTCACTCTTGACCGCCACCACTGCAGTCAAGGCAAACACTCACCTGATTTTGTAGATAAGGCCCACATTATTGGTTCGCACCCGGAATACATCAACATTGGCTTTCTCGAAAGCGGACTCGCTCCTGTGGTGGACACATGCAGTCAGTCCCAGAAACACGTCTCATGGGCCCAGGAACGGAGCCAAAGGCTGGCATCCTCTTCCTCCTGCTTATCACACTCACTGGAAGAGCTGCATGCAACTAGCTACCATTCTGAGCATTCTCTCTGATGTGGTCAGAGAAGAGGAAGGAAAGGACGGGCATGCTCGTGCCTAGGCTCACATCCAGGCGTCCATGTAATCATTGCTCTGAGTCCCTAAGGGAAGCACCGTGGGTGATACATGGTGTGGACACGCAAGCCATGAGCTGGTAGAAGACCTGGGGTCTGTTCAGGGAAGAAGAGGAAGGAGGGTGTGATGGATGGATGCCTGGAGCCTCTCGTCTGCAGGCCCCCTTGGATGGCAGCCTGTACCCCATCATTCCAATGAGAAAAGGGAACTTTCCCTCCCTCAGCAAGCAGGGAGGCAGGAGCAGTAAGGAGACTCATGACTGGTACCTGTCAAACAGTGCACCTAGAGGAAATACACCCAGGGTATGAGGTAGTGCAGGGCCCAGCCAGTCCCAGCTTCTGCACATCCTAAATTCAAGTACTTCACACAGAGGCTGGAGGCGCTTTGCTCCAGGATCTTCCGGAGTGGACACCTGGGTCTCACATTAGCATCTCTTTCGTCCTCTGTATGGTCCGGGAACCCAGCCCTGATAGCTCAGACCTGCCAGCAGCTCCCTCTGACCCGTAGCTTTGAGTCTATGAGTCTAAATGAGTCTATGCTCTCAGCCAGAGTCCATGGCCAGCACACAGCTGGGAGAAAAGAAAAGCACAGAAGACATTTGCCTGTGCTACGGTTTACACCTTAAATGAATTCCCAAAGCCCTTACAAGCCTGACACCCCACACATATCCTACTCACTGTCTGGAAGCCTTTAAGAGGTTGGACCTAGGAGTGTAGCTCAGTGGTAGAGCATTCTCCTGGCATGCATGAGGCCCCGGGTTCAGTTCCCAACACTCTACCGTAAAGAAGGTAGTGCCTGGTGGAGGGAAATCAGGTCACTGAGGCTGTGCCTTTGAAGGGAATACTGGGACCCTCTTCCTCTTCTGGGGACTCCTCTTCCTCTCTTCACTTCCTGGTTGCTGTGAGTGAACAGCTTCTATCACTTCCGGGGCTGACTCGCCATGTCCCCAGAAACAATGCAGCCAACTGGTCATGGACCCGAACCTCCAACACTCTGGAGCAAAATCAACCTTTTCTCTTTTTAGTTGGTTTATTTTAGGTATTTGTTACAGCCACGGAAAGCTAAATAAGCCAGCTTATGGTTATTATTAACATTTACTGGCTGTCTGTGTTCTTCAAAATAGAGGGGGTGAGGGGCCTTCTCCCCAGGCCACAGGCTGAAGGTCAGGCACAGGGTCCTTCCGGGTTCTTCAGGCCCCAGAAGCTGGTGTTCTTCAAACGGACCTGCTCTGGTGAACAATCTGCCTTGGGGCGAGGATTCCTTAAGAGATGAGCGAGATGGAACAAGGCAGGGCAGGGCAGAGCTGGGGTGGGGGTGGGGGGTCCTAGAAAATAGCAGAGCCCAAGATGTATACTAAGGCAGCCTTGTCAGGGGAAAGAGGACCCAAAAAGAAGCCTGGGGACAGAGAGGGGAGAAGGAGGGTGACGGAAGCGTCTAGGCTTGCTGGAAGGAACTGGAGACTCGCAAGCTGGTGGCACATGTCTGAGCTCAGGTGGGTGTGTGTCCAGGGAGGAAAGGAGGAGAGCCAAGCAAGGCCACTGAAGTGTGGAGATACAATGTTTCCTCCAAAGAATGAGCTGGTCTCCGTCCTGGGAAAAGAAAGTTTTTGGATCCAGCGTTGAAGATGAAAGCAAATCAAATCAGTCCCGGAGAGAAGGTGTGCTCATGTGGGGTTGCCAACTGTGGGAGAGCATCAGGGCACACCAGACCCTGCTTCTGTCATGGCAGCTGGGGAATAACTGGGAAAACACACAGTCATCGATTCTGCATGCTAGGATTTTGTGAATGAGAAACAACAACAACAAAGAATGAATAAATGATATTTTCTTTCCCAATACGTGGCACAAAGCAACATATTTTTAGAATAAATTGACACAGTTTTCTGCATTAACACCCTGAGGAACGGATGCCCCGGGAAGCTATATGTTTGAATGCTCTGTAGCCATTAAGAACACTTGAAGAAGTTTAACATACAAGCTTTAAAAAAATGTTAAGATGGAATCTGTGAGCAGAGCAATCAAATAAACAGGACTCCAACTTTCATTTTAAAAAGGTGAGTGGGAGAATTTATACAAACATACCAGGCCACACCTAGAGGCCAAGTCTATGTAGTCTTATTTGTTCTTGTCTATATGAATTTCCACATTTTACCAAAGGAACACAATCTGCTTTGGCGATTTTCCCTCCTGAAACTCAACTCGGCCCATGGGCTGCCAGGGGAACAGTCTCTGAAAGTCTGCGGATGGTAGGTGTCATCCTCTACAGTGCAGGGAACCTGGGAAATAGACTGCAGGGAGCAGGGGACAAGGTGGGGAAGGGTTCCCATCCTATTCCAGCCGACGATGAAGGCAAAAGGAGGCAGCTGGGTTTCCGCATGACCAGCAGGGGCAGGGGCACTCTAGACCAGCTCAAGGCCACATTGTTGGGGCAGGCATGGTTCCTTCCCAGATGTGACTCAGACTTCAGTAGTGTGTGCTCCATAGAGACCAACCTGCCCTTGCGTACAGGAGAGCTATGTCTTCAGAGAAGAAAGGGCTGTAGACAAACTCCCCTAACTGTCCATTCTCAGGGAGAGGCTGGGACTATCCCAAACAAACCCTCAGCCCCATCCACTCTGGGATCAGATCTGAAAAGCCCATTTCTAGTAAGAAAGGATGCAGAAGCTTTAGAGAACTGACCAAGGCTGCATTAGCAATCCCAGCAGAAACAGAAATGTAGGTTCCTCGCATTTCCCGGCTGGAGGAGGGCCCCACCATGGCTCCGACACCATCCTCAGACAAAGTCTAGCTCAGGGCACTACCCATGTCACCTCCCAGCAGGTACTTGCTCCAGAGAGAGCCTCCCAAGGCCTGTATCTGGCATTTTAGCCACTAGCGAAGCCTCCAGACTTAAATGCCAGGCACTCTCCAACACACTGGGTGTGAATTCTTAGCGGGAAAACAACAACAATAAAATACATGAAATCCCATCTTTTTGCCATGTCATAAACACGTGACCTCCTGGGCAACGGGGGAAGAGGAAACCCAGAAGATGGTGACTTCCCCTGAAGTCACTTTGCACTGACCTGGGGCGAAGACTAGGTGAGGGCTCACACGTGGGAAACTAGGTGACAATGTCATCTTCACTGCCTAGAATCAGAGAGCAAAGATCTCTGCAAATCGTGTTATATTAGGTGGTGGGTGAATCCTGCTAAACCATGAGAGATTCTGTGTTCTAGGACACAGAAAAAGGCACAGGGGTGTGCTCAGATCAAGGTGAGAGAGAGAAAGGGAGAACAGGAGTTAGGAGATGAGAGGTTGTGGAAAGGGGTCAGGAGAGGTGCCAGGAAAGATCAAGGTTGAATTTTAATACTGATGGAGCTAGCCTTGACTTTCCTGCATTGGGCAATGTGAACCCTTTCTAAGGCCAAGAGCTATCGGAGAAGCCTGTTAAATACAAAAGTGTGTGTTTTTGTGTGCATGCACACGTCTGTGTATGCAAGTATGTGTGTGCATGTCCATGTGTATGTGTGCAAGCTTGTGTGTACCAGCGTGGGTGTACATGTGCAGGTATGTGTGTGTGCATACATACAATAACCCCTGCTCCAGGTAGCTCAGTGGGTTTGTCTTGAAGCTGGCTGGGTATGCAGAAGAGAAGCAGACAGTGAAGTGTAGGGAGACCGAGGCAGCACATCCTGCGTTAACACAGAGGTGACCTCAGCTACTACCATGAGGGATGCATCCCAGACCCTCAGAAAGTCACATCCCCCTCCTGGACTCCGTTTTCAGCTTGGGTTGCAGGGATGTCATGGGCAGAATCTTACACAATGTTTTTAATAGTCTTTTCCCTTGGTTTCTCAATGTGGGCAGATTCTGACCTCTTGCTTCCCCTCCATTATGCTCACTAGTGAGAGGACATCAGCTGTCACGGTCAACTCGGCATCCACTGCTTGGCTTTCCAGCCTGGCCTCTCCAGCCTTTCCTTATGCCTCAGCCTCATTACAGCAACATGGCACCGGCCGGCTGCTCCAGCTGCTCCACCACAGAGTCTTTACCATCCACACTCTTCCAGGATGCTTTGTATTCCTCTAGCATCTGAGTTCATTCCAGCACTGAAGGCATTGGTTATGTCCTTTCTTGTGAGGTGTCCCTCTGGCAATGTGACACCTTGGGTTTCTACTGAGCTTCTATTCAATATGACCCAGGACAAATACGGAAGCCCAGGAAGCTCATTTCCACCCTCCATGGCATGTCCATTGCCTCCCTGCGCAGCCCTCTCTAGTCTCAGCTGCTATACCCGCCCATACCCTCCCTCGTGCAGACTCCTGTCTCTAGGCTGGTCTGAAGAAGCCAGCTCCCATGCCCTCCTGGCCCTGTCAACCCCTCCATAATGCCACCCACTCCCCATACTGCAAGGTAGACTTTCTAATGCTGTTGAGAGGGAAGGCTAAAAGCCAGGCTCTCGGGCTACAGGGATTCCAGTGACAGCCCTCCTCAGTATGTGCCATCAGTGATCTGGGCCTGCCTAAGCGAGTTTGGCAAATGGACAAGCAGAGAATTATGGGTACATAAAAGGAGGAAGGACTGTGAGATCCCACTACATGAAGATAAAAGGATAGTTTTGCTTTAAAAGGTGAGCTGGAGACTGCAGACACCAACCAGCTGGCCACCTTCCCAGGGCTAGTGGTATCTCCTTCCTCTGGGAGGGTGCATGGCAAAAACGATGAATATTTCATGTATTCCCTTTACCGTGCCCACGTCACGGGAGGAAAGACTTCCACAAGAGTCGCGCGCAGTGAGGAGTGCAAGGAGGCAGGTACCCTGTTCTGCAGAGATGAACAAAATAGCGCGTTACCACAACGCAACACGGCTGCACGGTGTCCCTTGCAGTGCTCATTCGGTACTCACTCATAATAAGACCGGTCACCCTGCAAAGCCAGAGCCTCAAGTCTCCTGGCATGGCCACGCCACACTTCCCTCCTTACCCCCAGGAGGTGCCAGGCCATAAACCTTAGAGACCACAACCTGTGGCACAGGTGAGTCTAGAAACAAAAAATCTCTTGCATATTCCAGGGCCACAGAGCCATGCAGGCAATTGAAATATCTACAACATAAATGTGAATGAAAGACAAGCTTACACACACACACACACACACACACACACACACACACACACACACACACTTCGAGATTATGAGCCACTCCCCCTAGGTCTCCGTTTTTCTATGAATGGAGTAGAACAGGTCAGTAGATAATGGCTGTGGAACTTTTCCTCAATCGGAATCCTGCCCAGAAACCCAGTGGGTAAGAGAACTAGAAGTGAGACCATTCTAAACCAGCTGCTCAGATTTGCCCAGACAGCACAGGCTGAGCGAAAGCCAGTGAGCTAAGACTCCTAGCCAACTCTGAAATCTTATTCTGAGGTACACTTGTGGGTTTGCTGTGTTTGCTTGTGTGTGCATGTGCGGAGTGAGGGAGTGGACCAAAGAGAAGACAGCAGTCTCTGCCCTCAGGGGTTATAGAAGAGCAAAGGGTTCGAGTGTGTCACACACAGATGCACACAGATGACATGTGACTGCGTGTGCATGGCTCCCAGGTAGGTTTAGTGTGATGCTGGCCACCATGAGACCTCAGGATAGATCATGGCTCTCTCACACATATTCTTCATGGCACTCACTACCTCAGCGGCCCTAGGAGGGTAGGTAAGGAAATCAAGGACTTGGAGACCATGAGATTTTGGCAAAGTTACATGGAGCAGAGCAGTAAAGCTGGTCCTGGACCTGGGGTTCTTGGTCCTGATTGTTCATTCTCCATCATCAAGAGATACACATGAGTTCTTGGGAGACTCAAACTAGATATTACTGTTTACAAAATCTAGTGTGGGACAAAGGAGGATTATCGGGAAAGCATTGGGCAATACCAGGATGATACTTGGATTGCTGACAGAGAATTCTTGTCGCATGCCTGTGGCCCAACTGTCCATTTCTATAGTTCGGAAGGCCACCATGGGGTTCTAGGACTTGGCCAGCCAACTAACATCCCACGACCCCACCAAGGCAAAATGGTACTCACTTGCTAGTGAGATGGAGCTTGGGAGAAAGCCCATTCTCTCCAAAAAGTGTGATGAACACATTGGCGTCTGTCCCTGCACCACGAACATCCCCTGTGGCTGTGACCACCTCATACACTGGAGGAGGAAAAAGACAGATTGTAGGCTCAGAAGGGAACCCACAATCACATGCTCACAATCCTAAACCAAGGTCAAATCCGCACGAACTCCCGCTGCAAGAGCTAGACTCCCTGCAGTACCACATGCTGCTTTTGCAGAGGACTCTGGAAGCTTGGAGACAAGGCCAGCTTCCTTACGCATTAGGTAAACCATCTAAGGGCTGAATATGCAGCTTCCTCCAAGGGGTGTGTCTTTGGCTGCAGCACTGAGTTCCCTCTTGTGGTCCTCTTGAAGCTTGCATGGCTTTTTGTCAACACTGTTCAGGATCAGGGTGTCAGTACCTGCATACTTGAAGAGGGAAAAATCTATCAAGACTCTTAGCAATGGCAGTGTGGTGGTTTGAATAAAAATGGCCCCTATAGGTTCACATGGAGTGGAATTCTTTGAGAGGATTAGGATGTGTGGCCTTGTTGTAGTAAGTATGGCTTTGCTGGAGGACGTGTGTCACTGCAGATGGACTTTGGGATTTCAGAAGCTCAAGCAAGACCCATTCTCTCTCTTCCTGCTGCCTGCTGATCCAGATGTAAAACTCTCGGCAACTTCTCTAGCACCACGTCTGCCTGATGCTGCCGTGCTTCCAATAATAACAATAACAATAATAGACTAAACCTTTGAACTGTAAGCCAGCCCCAATTAAATGCTTTCCTTTCTAAGAATTACTGCGGTCACGTGTCCCTTCACAGGGATAGAAACCCTAAGACAGGTAGGACCTGTTACAACCAGGGGAACTGAACAAGATGAGCAGGGGCATTCCATGGCTGGAGGAGTGTTAGCAGAATTGTAGGAATGTATATTAGATCTGTTTTCGGAATCAACTCCCAGAAACGCCCAGCACAGACCCGTCCTAGGTCCTAGGGAGGGTTGCTGCAGCCAACCACCTTCAGAGCCACGGCACCTCTGCTAAGACGTGGGAGCAGCCACACAGCAACCTATGCAGCTGCTGTTCCTCTCTCCAAATGAAATGTGGGCCCCATCCTGCTCGAGGAGGAGTCACTGCTGAATCAGTCGTGGGCTGGAAACGCTGACTCAGGGAACCGACCACACGCGTGGGCAGCGCGGGAGGCTGACCAAAAGGAAATGACTATGCTGGGAAGCAGGGATTTGCAGTGTGAAGGGCTGGTCAAATGTGGGAAGGGTATTTGGAAGCCTCAGGGTGTGTGCCAGCTGTTCACCACCGTGTGGAAATGGTACAAATGCCAGCGCTTGATGACTGTGTCACAACCAACAATGACTTACTGCACGCCCGGCCCTGAGTTAGTTGTGCACATGAACGCTTATTGCTACAAACTTGTTTCTCTTTCCTATGTCTTGCCTTTTCAGAACAGGTCCCCTGTTGCAGAATACCTTTGAGCTCTCTCGAGGAGATCTGATGGATTGGGTTGCTCTTTGGGGGTTAAACAGTCGTTATTCAAAACCATCAGTTGGCAGTCCATTCTGCCAGGGGGGTTTGTCCCACGTGCAAAGCAGAACAGTTGATGGGAGGACGGTGGAGGGCGTGAGTACCTCGAGCATCTGTAGCGCTCTGGGCCTGCGGAAGGTTTTCCAAGTAATATTCTTCCTACTGCAAGTCCATGAGCCTCCACACGCTGAGGCAAAGCGTTGGGCATCAACCCACAGAGGACTTGGGGTAGCCACTGGCTCTCCACTTAGAAGCAGGATGGCTCTTTACAAGGACCTCGCTGCCTGCCACACTGGCTAGAAATATCTGCCCCGCGGGGCTGTTTCTGGGAGTTGATGATGTAGAGGCAGCCCCACCACACGGAAAATAATAAATAGCTTTCCTCTTTTTAAGCTATTGTTTGTGCAGAAAAGCCTATTTCATCCAAGAGCTAACACCTGTTCCTTTGGCAGACAGCATATTAGCTCAAGCGCCATGGACATGGTGTACAGATGATTCTGAAGCCCTTGAGGAGCACTTCAGATTCTAACATGGTCCTCCCTCACCGGTGAAGAATGGCAGCTGCAGTGTCTGGGGAATGACACCGGATATGCCTGCTTCTGACAAAGCTCGTCAGAGGAGCCATGAATGGGGAAAGAAAGTAGCCGTGTGTGTGGACTCGGTCGCTCATGATGCTCATGGCAAGGCTTGAGTCCTCACAGCCTGAACCCCAAGGCAACTGGAGTACTACCTGCGTCACTGAGCACACAGGGCCTTTCTGAGTCAAGCGGCCACAGGAGAATGGCCGGCCTTGCAGAAATGTCAGAGGCACATCACTCGAAAACTAGAGAAAGAAGCCCAGAGATGCTTAATTTAAAGACAAGGAGGCTCTGGGGTTCAGGACAGGCAAAGCAGATTCACTAGCTTCACCCAGGAGCACATAGCTACTCCCTAAGCCAGACACACGCCATATAGAAGCTGCTCATGTCAACTAAATTACAGTGAAGACCATCAAGAAAAATGACAGAGTGAGTCACCGATGAAGACAGTATTTGGAGTGCATCCAGAAAAGGACTCATACCTAAAAATGATGAATAATTCACATCAGTAAATAAGAAAAAAAAAACAGATTACATCCTTTTGAATACCAGTAGACGATCCAAAGTGAGAGACTTCCTAAGTGCTCATCAACGTTACCCATGTAACGCCAGTAACAGCAGTAAAAACAGTGAGACCACGGTAGACACGCCGTGGTAGTTCCACTCCCGGGGCTACCGCTCAGCAGTGAAAACCAGAGAGCTGCCGGCACGCGCTCTGCAGCACAACCTAAGTACAGACACGAAACACTTACTCTTCACAAGGCTATTTACGTGAAGTCACCAGAAGCAAATTAGACGCGCTGCAGCACGAGGCAGAAGAAAGGCTGCCTGGGGTCGAGAACAGGAGGCTAGCTGGGAACGACACAGAAACCCTTGGTCTCGCTAATGTAAATACTCTCTACGTTGACCTTGTGTTGTGGGGATAACACCAAAAAGGACATTTAAAATAGTTGTACTTTATTATAATAAACTGTGTACTTCAGCAACACTGAAAAGTGCAGAAACGACTTAATACATCACCAAAGAGACTCAAATGGCCACCAAATATGGGGGGTATGCAAATAAACATGTTCAGTGCCATGATTCATCAGGGAAATGAAAACTAAACCCCCAGGAAGATGCCACCATGTGCCCACCGGGATGGCTGAAATAAAAAGAACCGACAATACCAGGCGTTGGCAGAATGTCACGCCACTGCCCCCTCTTACATAATGGGGGTGCATGAGTGGCCAGAAGCACAGATAGGGGAACAGATGCTCACCCCATAACCTAGCACCCCAGCTTCCAGTTACAAATCCTGGAGAGATGGATATGAGGGCCAAGACCTGTAGCATCTTTGATCATATTAGTACAAAAACAAAGGCAGAAGCCATTCAATCGTCCGTCAACAAGAGAACGGTTGACTCGCCAGGGATGTGTCTACCAAAGGCAAGCGTATTCACAAATAAAAAGAACCAACTAGGTATTGCGTTACAGCACACACTAACCTCTCAGGAGGGATGGTGAGGAAAGAAGATAGGCACAAAAATATAGCCACGGCAAAAGCTGTGGCTCACTCCTGTGACCCCAGCACCAGGTGACTGGGGTGTAGGAACCGCTCGAGAGGTTAACACTAGCTTAGGCTACGTAGTAAGGATGGAGAAAAACAAACGTGGGCCGGGGGCCTCCATTTATGCAAAGTTAACAGGAAAAGCGCCTGGGGAGTCAGACATGTCAGGTCCAGCAGAAGTACAAAGGGCCTTCTGTGGGGCCTGGAAATGGGAGTCCCCGTCTGAATCAATGGTGCCACACACATGCGCACAGGTAAGATCTTCCCCGCGCTCCGCCCCCCCCCCCCCCCCCCCCCCCCCCCCCGCCACACACAGGGTAGCTGGTAGAGCTACCCTTGGCCTTGTAGTACTCATGCTCTAGCTCATCCTCGTTGTCCTCGGAGTTGTAGTTGAGCAGCTCCTCCTCGTACAGGCCCAGGAAGTCGATGTCTTTCTTCCTCCGCTTCTTCTTCTTCTGGGGCATCATCTTGCCACCTGCCTCTTCGGGGACCCTATAGGCTTACCGGTCGGACTGCACGGCTTCCTTAGATCTGAGCCTCTCACTCAGGAAGCTGTGGGGCCCTCAGCCCCTCCTAAGGCTTCGGGTCTGGATGCATCACCCTGGCTTTGTTCCCTGGGTCTTTTGGGTCCCCCATCTCAAACTTCTATCCCCCTTCCCTCCTCTCTGATCCCTGAGCCTAACACATAGTCTTTCTGTTTGTTAGTGTTTTCTTATCTTTTCCCCCTCTGTCCCTAACTTGTTCTCTGCCTCCCTCTCTCACTCTGCCTGCCCCGCAGCTTCTCCTTGAGTCCTATCACTTATTCATGAAAATGAGAAGGCTGTCCTCTTTCCTCCCACGCACACCCCTTTGCCGAGACTCAAGTGACAAAATGTCCTGGCATCCACTTCCCACCTGACCTCACAACGGGGAGGGTGGCACTCAGGACCCCTCCAGGGCAGCTAGGGGCCCACCACCAAGGAGACACCTGAGCATCACAGCCTATGAGAGCGCTGGACACCGCCCAGACCAGGCTCCTGAGGAGGGCAGAGCTGAGGGAATCCGCCCAGCTCCTGGGCACAGATCGGTTTCTCTGCATTATGCACGAGCGCTGATCGTCTTACCCAGAAGGAAGGGACTGACTAGGCTGGTTTCTGTTTCCATCTCCCAGAAGCATGCTCTCTTCCAGAAGTGACCCTCCTTGGGCAGTCCTGCTGCCCCTCAGAGCAAGCAGCTGGCCCGCAAGGCAGCCACTCAGTATGACTCACTGCCACTGCCTGCCTGTCTAGGACCCTGAGGAAGTCCACCTCTCCTCAGGTGGTCCCAAAAGGGCACAGATGAGCCAAACAGGATACACCTGCCCAGAGCAAGGGTCAGATGTCACTTCCAACCCTTCACCAGCAGTGAGAGCATCCTGTGGCCATTAGACTCCCTCCTTGCTCATTTTATTTTATTTTATTTTATTTTTGTAAATATTCCTTATTACCCGGGCTGTAAGGTTTCTATATAGATTTTAAAATACTAGAATGTTTCAATTCACTTGAAGCTCGTGCTCCTCTGCCTTGCAGGTGAACATGAGACAGAACTAACTCCATCTATGCTACCTCCTGGCTGTGTAGCCTAGAACGCAGCCCAGTTTCCCATCTATAAAGGGGGAAAAATGACCCAGTATTGCATGTTCAGCAGTTGGAGAAAATTCTTCATTAGTCAGAAGTTTCTGGAGAATATTAGCGGTTAATGAGTGTCTGTAGCTCCTGCAACAGACTAGATCTCTGTCTCTCTCCTCCATGTTTGTATGTTGAATGTTGACATGAAAAACTATCAGGGAGATGCTCAGAGGTGGGGCCGTGCGGGGAGATTACATCACGGAGGTGGAGCCCTTATGAATGTGATCAGTGCCTTAGAAAAGAGATGCCAGGACCTGGGAACGTGTGTGTGTGTGCGTGTGTGTGTGTGTGTGTGTGTGTGTGTCTGTGAAGTGGCCGATGTGTAAACCTGAGGACCCGAGGTACATCTCCCTGAATTTACATCAAAAGCCAGGCATGAAGACACTTAACCCTAGTGTTGGGAAGGTAGAGGCAGGGGGTCCCCAAGCCTTGCTGACCAGCCAGTCCTGTCAAAGCAGTGAGCTGAAAGTTCAGTGGCAGACTCTGTTTCAAAAGTAAGATGGCGCCCGGCGGTGCTGGTGCACGCCTCTAATCCCAGCACTGAGGCAGAGACAGGTGGATCTCTGTGAGGCCAGCCTGGTCTCCCAAGTGAGTTCCAGGACAGCCAGGGCTACACAGAGAAACCCTGTCTCAAAAACAAAAACAAAACAACAACAAACAAGTAAGGTGGATTTTTTAAAAATTGAATGTCTGTTTAGTGCTGCGTTTGCAAGCATGGCTGTGGGACTGTCTACTGGAGCTTGGCTTATAAGGGCCTGCACCCCGGACGTGACTCCGCCTACCTCAGCACCCTCAGCTCTCCATGCGCACAGAAACCCAGCAGAGGCCGTGAGTTCACGCTTGAGCTTCTGTTTCCTCCCAGTTGCTGGTCCGGGGAGGGGCCGTTCCTCATGTGCATCTCCCTACCAAGCCCAGCTGTGAGCTCTTCGCAAGTGGACAAGCCTCCCTCATGTTCACCGGAGCACGCTTAGGACGTTTGCTGTGCCGAGTAGACACTGGGCTCAGTGAGCGGATAAAGGCAAGAAGGTCAACAAAACAACAGGTTCACTGCTTGCCTCCAGAACCCAGGACAGAACTCACCTTCGGAATGCTCTAGAATGGGTGCCGTTCTTACCACGCTTCAGAGGAAATGGAAGAGAGAGCCGTTCACGGGTACGTGGAAGGAACATCGGAGCAGCAACCAGCACAGAACACCCCCTCTCCCCTCTGCCCTCTCACCCCCGCCACTTCCTATCCTCGGAGAAGCTTCTTTCCCACTTCATCCTTTTGAGGTACCCAGATCTCTACCAAGGGAAGGCATTTCTGACCCCAGACAGAGGTGACCAAGCCTATCTCCTCCCTTACTCTGCAGAGGGATCAGTCACCCTGGAATCAGTGGTAAGACTAGAGTGGTTTAATAGTAGGTGACCTACGCCCCCTGCTGGCTGCATGTGATTTGACCTCTGGAACCTTGAAGATTGGAAATAACCAAGAAAAATCATTTTGTAGGGACGGAGAGGACGCACACGCGCACACACACACACACGAGAGCACACAAACACTCAAATTATTTTTCTTGAGGTTCTACTCAGAAGCAATATCAAAGCTTGTTTTTAATGAGATACCCTTCAGACAAAATGTTCATTGGAATTTTTTATTATAAGACTTTGAGATTAAAATAATTCTAAAGAATCCCAAAGCATTAAAACATGTGAATTTAAAAAAAAAATCATGATCTGAATCAAAACCAAACATCCCGGACATAGTGCAAAGCAGAACCTGTCATACTGTGGCTGAAGAATGGAAACTACTCCCAACACTTTGGGAAGGAGCATGCGCTCTTATGTGGTGGCTAAACAAACTCTGTCTACACAGTGCAGAAACCCCGCTCCTTGGAGGGTGAATATGATCAAAATGCATTGTTTGCATGGATGAGATTCTCAAAAAGTCAATAAAATACGTTTTTAATGAAAAAAAAAATAGGATCTACCCAAGATCTGTCTACGTGTATTCAGAGATGCTCCATTCATAACAGCCCTAGGAGAATCTCAGTGCCCATCAGTTGTCCTGAGGGCAAGCAGAGATGCATTGATATGGATGATGCCACTCAGAACTGAAAGGGGAGTGAGTAGGACTGGGAAATGACAAGGAAGTAGACTGGACTAGGGCCGTGTGGCTCCATGGTGGAACACTGTGCAGATCTGGCTTGGTCCCAGAGAGAAGAAAAGGGGGGAGAGGACTGGGGATGGATGCTATGCAGATGAGTCTCAAAGAAACTATGTTAAGCGAGAAACCCAGGAGAAGGCTCTTGCTGTAAGGTTGCGTTTATGTAACGCTGTCAGAAAGAGACAAGCATAGGCTCAGAAAACCGGCCTGTGGTGGCCAGAGGCAGGCATGGGTGTGGGGGCTGGGGTCGGGAGGAGAGGTGCCATCAGAAAGCACAAGGAGGTACAGTAGGGCTTTGCAGACAGGACACAGACTCCATTCCTGTCTCTCGTTCTCCCCTGCGTCCTCTTTGGTCTGCCTTTCCAGTCCACATGCCACTCCAACTGGCTTCCGTCTAAGATACGGGCCTGGCCATTGGCTGAGTCCTCATCCGAGGCCCTTAAGTGTGAGGGCCTTGCTCACAGTTGGCAGGAGAGAGGATTGGGGCATTCTTTGCAGGACCCACATCTCACGGGCCCCCCAGCAGCACCATCACTAACACCGCAGCTCCTGCCCCCAAAACGTGAGGATCCCTAGGGCTGGCTCTCGAGAAATGGTGAGCAAACCGCAGGAGTGAGCAGGAGCGATGGGCGTTCATAAAGGTGAAGAACACACCCTCCGTTCTGGCGTGCTCCTGATTTCCCATCCGGGGTACCAGCCGGTCTCCCCTCCCGGGCTGCGTCCCTTCCTATCCTAGGGGTAGCGCAGTGCTGCGTCTTCCTGTCCCCAAGGAATGTGAGACTCCACACCCGCTTTGGGAAAAGCTCTCACGGGCTCCAGCAGCCTGGGGTAGCAGGGGAGCAATGCTTCCACTCCTCTTGTCAATCTCCCGGGCTAAGTACTGGGTTATGCTTTAAAAATCCGCCAGGACAAGTCGCTCCAGTGATTTCTCACACGCTTAGATTTAAGTCTTGGCTTCTCCCAAATGCCTGCAGGTTCTCTCCTCACTCTCCCCCCCCCCCCCCCCGCCCCAGCCCCCAAGCACACTGGCTCCATTTACACTTTACTCCTCTTTCTGAAGGGCTCACCAGCCTGAGGGACGCCCATTGCCAAAGGCAAACCCTACACTCACTTCCCCTTCCAGCGCTGCTCTTCCCAAGCTCACACCTCTCCGTGGGGCCGCACCCCCTGGTGGCCCCCAACTCGTCACACTCTTGACAGAATCACGTTTCCGGAAACTGATAAAGACTCTCTTCTCGTTCCATTACCTAGAAAGCAGTTCCGTGGATTTTGTGTACGTCCTCCAAGACCTGGTGCTGTGTACTGCTCCATCGCCGCCTCAGTCCTCTGCACCCATCCTACGTGCCGGCGCTCAGGGAACTCCGACACCCCGACCCCACACACCTGCCACAGTGACCGTTTGTCCCCGTGAAGTTGTTCTCAGCGGCCTGAAGCCTCTTGTTCGCTCCCACCTCTGGGGTTGTACACGGCTTACTACTTCAAATCACGACTGGCCCCACTCACCTAGCAAGAGGACTCGAGGAAACGAGGTGGGTCGTTCTTCCCCTGGTGGTAGCTGAAGGCCGAGGCAGGCTTGTGACTACCGGTTAGTTCTGACGTTCTGCACACACTGCAGATGCCAATGTGTCCCCACAGCAGCGCACAATCCACAGCCTCCCCCGGAGACTCGGCTGCAT